CACGCCACGCCCGATCAAGCTAATGCTTGCCCGATCGGGCCCTTGCTTGTCTTCGAGGCTTGGACTTCGATTGGGCTTGATTCCTCGGCCCAATCCGGATTTCCTCTTCGTGTCTTGAATACTCGGTTCAAATACCTCGGTATCCCGATTACCGAGCCCATAATCACCGGCTCGACGACTCTAACCGGCTTTGGGCTTCAATGATGGTCGTGCTCTTCTAATTTCCGTAGTCACTCCGTGAAAAACCCGAGAAAATGCTCCAAAGGCGCAATTTCCTACAAAACTCAACAAAGACTACGAAAACACTAGAAAACACCAATTAGTAATAAAAGTGGCTCGAAAGAGCCAAAAACACTACTAATTATGACCAAGGGACGGGGTAAATTACTATATAAAATGGACATATCACGCATACACATGAAGGGCCGACGCAAGACGTTCCCCCACAAGGTCGCGCTGTCTCTCGTCTGACCCCTTAACGAACTCTATGACTACGGGCTCGCCTCCAAAAGGAAAACCCGTAATTATAGAGAAGTCGAAAGGGGTAACCGTCATCTCTCCGCATGGAAAGTGGAAAGTGTTGGTGGAATCCCACCAAAACTCCAGCAATCCACGGAGGAAAGATGACGATGCAGGCTGACTCGATAAATCCCGAAGAGCCGCCAGCTGGGAGTCAATCCAGGAAAGTGCTACAATCTCCTTTGCCACCTCGGGAAAGCTCTCAAAACGGGCTTGTAGGTCACCAGAGCCATATAAACGCATGCTAGGCTCACTCTAAATAAAAGAATAAAAATAAAAAAATAAAAAAAACAATTATGGTTTAAAATGGAGAAACAAAGGAAAAGAGAAAGAAACAAAGGCGCGAAAAAACTCACGATGTCGCGCCACCCTCGGATCGAAACATGATGGTTTGGGTCCCACTTAAGGACCCTAGGGTCCCAATTGGGAGGAGCCTCCCAAACCACATCCTCTTGACGACGTCGATCGGCCGCGAAGCGTCGCTCTCGAACCTCCTCTCGAGGACAGGTCACCCTCTTCCGAGGGCGAACTGCCTCGTCTGGACCACTGAGAATCTCCTCAGCATCGACAAATGGAGGCGAGTTCATGCTATGATGGATAAAGTTTCTTTAATTAGTTTACTTTATATGTATTCTAGACCCATTTTGGCAGCATAACGGCTGTTGATAGGGAAAAACACAAAAATCAAATGCCACCCATACTTGGGGGCTACGATACCTACCGTTAAACTTAGTAAATGGGGCTTCTAACACCCACAAAAGCCATCCTATACCAGTTTCAACTAAGTACTCAAGGGATTGTATTTCAAAAATCTCAAAGAATCAACTAATTCTAGACGAATAACAGTAATATAAACATGGTTATCGTCTACAAAACAATTTTGAAGTTTGAACATGGCAACAATAAGCTAAGAGTATGTTTTGCGCCATTTTCCAACAATTTAAAATTCGTGAAAATGAATTATGAAAGTAATATTGGTTCCATCACTATAATCTACTTCATAATCAGCAATTATAACCAAAATGAGCAAGAAAAAGCAATAAAATCAAGAAAAATTCGAAGAAAAAGAGCAAGAACAAACTTGAACAAAGAAATGCTCATACAAGGTTCAATACTTAACCATTTTTCATGAAATTTGTTTCAAAACAATCCTTAAACATAACATAACAACATGGAACAAACAATTTCAAGAATAAAGGACCGAATAGAAAACCCCCATATTCAAAATTTAGGGCTCAACGGTTCGAAAATCGTCCCAATTAAGCCTAAATCAAACGAAAAACAACAAAAAAAACTTACATTGGATTACAAAAAATATGAATTAAGGATGAAATTTGCTTCCTTTAGCTTCGAAAATGGCAAGAAACCGAGCTCTTTAGAGAGAGAAAGGGGCGAAAATGGATGAGGGAAAGAGACAGAAGGTTAAATGAAAAATCGCGTTTTGCGATTTTCTTTTTGTTGAACTGAGTGTCGTGCGCAACTAAATCAGTTACGCGTGACATACCAGCGCAACTCCGAAATATGCGCGCGCCTGGCCAGCGCGACCTACTGAGTTGCGCGCGGATACTGGTCACTGAATGGCCAGAATCTTGATTTTGATCCGTTTGATCATTTTTTATTGGTTTTTGCTCGTTGTTAGACGTAATGGCACGCAAATTATCAAAATATTTTTAAATTGCTTTTCATATTGTAGTTTGTTTTCTTCTTTGTTAGTTTTTTGCATCATTCTTGCATGCACACCGTGCTTTGTGCCTTCCCTAAGCATATGTTTTGAACGTTTTTCGTAAGAGTGCCTTAAGACGTTCCGTGGTGGTGCTTTACGTAAAACCGTCCATAGACAGGTTTGTCATTTTACTGTACTGACGTTACAAATGTTCGGATTTTCTTCTTTTTTCACGTCCGAAGCAAAAAGAAAGGCGTTTTCATGCAGCGTAAAAATGCAAATGGCGTATCGTACGGCGTAGGTGTTGCGTAAAATTTCACTTCAGCCCAAGCTTTGTGAGATCTACCTCTCGGAACTAAAAGGTAGAGAATTACTGTAGGCGTTAGCTCATGAGTCAACAGGCGCGCCGAACCATCAGGAATAGGTACTTCTTGAATGGGAGCAAATACGGTAGTTAGTGCGCTTACTAACTTGTCGGACAGTTATGGTGTCGAAATCATCCCCTATATAAAGAAGCGACGAGACGAGACGATGGCGTGCCTATGTAGTCACGTGCCACCAGTCCTGAGACACGTGTACTTATCTTGTGGACAAAACTACTGAGAGAGTTGTCGACTTTCTTCCCTCTCACTGGATTTGGATATATGCCTCCAGTCCTGAGACATGTATTTCTATCTTGTGGACATCCGGCTCGAATACTGGACCATTTCGGCTCGAATACCGAAAACCCTTTTTCATCTTTTACTTTGTTAAAGTCAGGCTAAAGTTTCAATGACATATCGAGGGACTTTAGACCAACGATGACACGATTGAGAGGAAATCTTCTCCTTTTATCCTTTTAAAACAGATCTCTTCTCATGACTTGACATCACCCAGAACACCTTTACTTGTAAAAGAGTTCTACAATTGCAAAGGATCAATCTAGATTCTTTAGCGCGTTAAGACTAGGAAAAACTTTTTTCTAGCCTTAATAGATACTTGTTTCAAAACACTTAGCGAACCAAGGATTGTTTCGACATCCTTAAACATTACTGAAAGATTCTCTATCCTTAAAGAACTTCGTAGAATGAGTCTCGGATTTATTTTCTTGACTACTTTGATCATCGTCTATTCTAGACTCGATCAAAGTGGGGGCTAACTGTAGACATCTACTTTTGGCCTCCTATCCCGACAGGAAGTGCAATGACGATAAATAAAATTATCTTCGTGTTAGATCAAAGTGAAGAATACTTATGGAAGACTAGTCAAGCCACAAAACACAAAAGACTAGCTCAAATTAAAGAAAAAGCCAAAACAAAGGTCCAATTAACTAAACCCGATCATAATTAGGTTTAAGCCCGTGCTTAAAAACTAACAATGACGGATTTAGGAGCGCCTAGGTTAAATCTTAGTGCTGCCGCAGAAAAAGTCGTGCGCATCTCAAAAAGTCGCGCTGGGCTGTCGCGCGTAATTATTCAGTTGCGCGCAACCTCCAGAGTTACGTTGCGGAAGATTTAGAATTGAACGAAAAATATAAAACCGAATCTGACCATAAAGTCGCGCGCAAGACAATTGGTTGCGCTGCCTTTAGCAGCGCAACCTAATCACATGCGATGGGATGGCGCGCGCAACTCATCATGTTGCGCGCGACACCTTCTGCGACAGAATGTTCGAAACCCTAAACATAATCATTCCCTATAAATAAGAGCTTAAACCGAGGCTTAAAGACAGAAAAAAAAAATAACCTAAAAATTCTGGTAAAATACTTGTGAACTTGTGCAACCTAGCCCCTCTTATCCCAAACACTCACCCTTTTGATATTTTGTTACCGCGGTGGAGGTTCCCTAACAAGAAGGAGTCCATAAGTATTCTAAACGGAGATCTAGCAAAGAGAAGTGGTAAATTCCGAAGCACTTAGTTAAATCACATTTATTTTCTTGTTTAAGAGAACCTTAATTAATTAATTAGTGTTGTTTGATCACCTTTAAATTAATTAATTAATCAATTTCACATAGTATCTTGCGTTAAATAAAGATTAGAATTGGATTAAATAATTGTTGGTTGATCACTTAAGCCTAGGCGAATATTTTTTATTTTCTTGTCCTTTTCACGAATTTGATTAAATAAGAATAATGACATTACGATGTAATTCCTACGTGAATTAATGCTGGTATATAAAATTAACTAACATAGTTTTAGGTATCGCGTTGCATATATTGTTTGGTGATGAAATTGTAAAAAAGGAAGAGCTAGTAGAGGTCGCACTAGGGCTAGGATAACAAATCCCCTCTAAAAGGAACGTTATTTTAGTACCCTCGCTCCCGAACTCATTTCTGGTTTATAGACCAATTTGGGGATGGGTAAACTTATGATTCGTGCTAATTATTCCATGAACTCCACATAGAAGAAAGGCATGAACGAGGTTTATGAGTTTTTCCTAAAACTCATTGGCGACACCCTACTTGTTTCTTATAAAAAAGCGTAATGATATAATCAATTCTAATTCAAGGTCCCCCAAACAGTCAGGAATTCAAATCCTACTACACCCTAACAAGTGTAAAGTCCTAGGCTTTTAAGTGGCCATGGGCACTTAAGGAGAGTACCCCTTACGATGGGATCACCCTCCTTACACAAGCCTGTCAAGAACAGGGCCTTTACCTTGAAGATGATATCAGAGAAGTTGATAAAAATAGCGTAAGTCTTGTCACTCTCAGTCACAATTATCTGCTCCACCTTTTGTAATCTTATCTGCATAATGTGTGGTTTTGTGCTAAGGGCAATTGGTGGATATTATGTGAAGTAGGAGTCTTACCATGAAATTTGAAAAAATGGTGAATCATTACTGCTAAAGGTTTTTATGTGTGGTAACAAAGGTTTTTATGTGTGGTAACAAAGAATGAAAATCTAAAATTTTAACTTGGAGGGTATTTTGAGGAAAGATGTTATTGTTCTTTATAAGAGTTGTTTCAAACATTAAAATCCAACTTTCTTTCGATGTTTTAAACAACAATCTTCACCTTACAACTTAGCTTATTCTTTTAATTCATTGGCTTGTATCTTTCTTTGATTATTTAGTCAATTTCTCATGTTTATTTTTCGGGTGTTTATTTTGGATAATTTGAATTTTGGGATTTGGTTTTGTTTATTTATGAATTTGGACTGAAGTTGTGTTGATTATACTTATGGAAGTCAAATAAATACCCTTCAACTCAGCTGTTAAAAGTGATGAGGTTAGTTATAGACTTCTTTTTTCTTACATCTCCATATATAGTCTCTGAAATTTGTTATCCTGGTTTGAAAATGATAGCAGAGTTAGGTTTGACCAAATTGAAATCTCTGAAAATTCTTGTGCTTATCCAAATTTATGTTGGTATTTCTGTATAGTTGCCCTATTGCTAAATTACCCAAGAGTACTTTACTCACTTTAAAATGTTTTGTTACTCAAATTCAGCTATAAGTGTTTGGTGGTGTAGTATTAGATGCCCACAAGTTTATTTTCTATGTTTTATCCAACAAATGAAGTATTAGATGCCCATTTTACGATAAAAGTACACAGTCGCAATATGAGTACTTGAACTCCTGATTTGATTTAAAGTGTTGTAGTAACATGGATTAAATATATTGTTAAAGCCTCATTGGCTTCTATGTTTAAACAATAAGGCTATTTAAAACTTCTTTCAGAGATGTTGTATCAGGGGTTGCACATTTTCATGAAATCACCTTAATACATCAAGATTTGAAGCCTCAAAATGTTTTGACAATCAAAGATAAAAATTTCAGAGCCAAACTTTCAGATATGGGCATCAGCAAGCGCCTTCCTGAAGATATGTCTTCCATAACCCAAAATGGTATAACTGTGTATTTTGTTTGTATCTACATTTGTGTGGTTAATTTTTCATTTGTAGATGTATGTGGTATGTTGGCACAATCCCTCACAAGAAGCTCCGCTAATAGAGTTTTTCTTTATTCTCATTTTGTGTTCATAATTACGCTCCTTCCTTCTCTTATGCCATTTTTCATCGAGGCAGCCCCAGGATCAGCCTGATTGACGAAATTTTGTCAATCAGCCGCTGTTGTGGGCCATTCACCATACCAGATAATAGTATTATATTCATTTGTACGGATTATTTTAACGGATGAAAAATGCCTGTTAGTGACGGTGGCAAGTAACCCTTGAATTGTCACTCTTATTTTCTCTCTCCTAACTTGAAGCTTTCATTAATGGCGGAACCCGAACCCGAATACGAAGATATCTTGAAGAAAGGCACCATAGCTGAAGTCAGTTCTGAAGACAAAGGTCTTCCAGGTTCCTGGTACACCGCTACTGCATGTTCTCCGCACAATTTCTCGTAAAATCCAGCAAAATCTTCGTTGAGTACGGAGTACCCCAATCTCATAGAAAACGAAGGTGGTTCCAAGCATCTCTGTGAGTTTGTTGACTAATTTTTCAATATACCGCCATTAATGAAAGCTTTAAATTAGGAGAGAGAAAATAATGAATTCGTATTTACTAATGATAATTGGTCGGAAAAGTACCCAATTACTTGACACGCATCAGAATTCGTCGAAGAAATAACCGAAATCACTCCTCAAAATGGTCGTAGAAGATGATCTCGCAACCAAATTTAATTAAGGTTATCAATTTGGGAAAGTGAAGTAAACAGCCGGAAGTGAATTGCTTTGACTAACGACACTCAAGTTAACGTTTCAGCAACATCATTGTAGAGTTACATATTTACCCCAGGCTTAAACATTAAAAAGACCAGAATACCTTCTGATTTACATTCTATGTCAATCAGGCTGATCAACTAGTATTTCCCCTTTTTCATCTCCATTTTGTTAACACAACCTCCCCCCCCCCCCCCCCCCCCCCCCCCCCTCCCTAGCTCCCTTATTAGCATGATAAGTTTATCCCTTCGTATAATATTTAGCCCATTTAAGTTCTTAGTTGGCCACTACAGGAAAAAGTTTAAAAATTTATAGAATATAAATGTACTCTGTTATATTAATTGTTAAATATTGTCACAATAGGCAATAGTACTAAACCAAGCTCTAGACATATATACTCAATTTTATCATTTACTTTTTGCAACATTTTTCAACTTTTATTTGAAAATAAGAGCTCTTTCTCATGTCCATTAATAATTAACAATGTTTCAAATAAATTTAATTTGATCACCCAAAAACATTGTCTTTGATTAAAAGTCCCATTTTATTCACTTAAAATCAACTAAAGCCTTTCTTTAATTTTTTTTTGAAAAGTTTTTTTTTTATAATATACTTTTAATCCACCAAAATCTACTACGAGTATCTTGGTTTTTATGCTATTTTTAAACAACCAAACTAATACGAAGTAAGTAATTCTCAACCATTGGAAAAATTCAACTATTTTGTGTTATAATAAAATGTATTGAGGTATTGACCCCTTATCTCAAATTCTTGATTTGACACTAATAATATTGATACTTATACTCTATTATCAATTTGTTATAAAATCTCATAAGTATTTTATTTATAATTTTGTAAAGTATTGACTTATAAATCTAAGTTTTATACGAAGTACTTAATTAAGTTGAATATATTAAACTCTATGATTATGTAATATCTATATCTATATCTATACTATATATTAAAAGGCGTTCTTAAGAACATTGATGTGCCACGTAGTCCCTTTTTGTTACGCCAAGTCATCTTCCCAACATCTCATGATGCCACATCATCACTCAAACAATGCCACATCATCCAAGCAACCAATATTACTCCACTTCTCCAACCCTCAACCTTGTATAAAAAGAGTAATCATTTCACCATCTAAGCCAATTATCAAGTGTGTTATTAATATGTAAAAAAAAAAATCATATAAGTGCAAGCCACAAGGTTCTATTAAAAAAAATAATTTAAAAAAAAACTCAATTTTAGTTTGATAGTGATAATTACAATTTTAAAAAGTCTTTAAAAAAATTTATCGATTGCACGTCTACAACAGTAGTAACCCGGGGCAACGCCCGAGCTACTCACTAGTTAGTTTATAATAAATCTGTATGCCACCTATACCTAAGAGTGACTTGACTTTAAATTGTAGGCAGTGGAACTGTGGGAGTTTGGGTTAGCGAGCACCTGAGCAATTACGTGAGAGTCGCCAGACACATGCAGTGGATTTATTTAGTTTAGGTTGTGTTCTCTTTTTCTGTATGACAAAAGGCAAACATCCATTTGGTTTATTTTCATGTAAAAATCCAAGTTTGACTGTTTTTTCAGATGATTTTTGCTTTGTTTGTGAAGAGAGTAACCAGGAAAGATGGAAACTGAGGTGAAAAGGTTTGGAGCTGAAGTGAAAAGGCTAACAGCTAGAGAAAGAGCAGAATTAGGTGAGTTTCTTGATCCTCTAGGCCTTCAGGTTTCGGTATACTTGAATTCTTTGGCAGGTGTTTGGGTCCAATTTAGTCCAATTGGGCTTAGGCATTAAATGATCCAATTAAAAGCCCAAGGTTAAGGTTCATCTCTCCAATTGTGCTAAAGTCAAAGATCAGTCCTCAAGGCAAGCCAATTGGGCTAAGGCCCAACTTCTCCATGTATGCAGAGGTATAAAAGCCATCAATTTTACATTTGTACATTCATTCAAGCAAATAATTCTCTTGCATAGTGTTCTCTTTCTACGCACTGTACTGACTTTAGCATCGGAGGGGCCTTCCTCGGCAACACCCCCGAGGCTAGTTTACGTGTGTTTACTGTGCAGGAAACCTTCGGCCCAACATTACTTGGATCGAATCTAGTCTTCTCCACTTCATCGGACCTTCGACAAGGTCCCATTGTTTTCACCCGAAACAATTTGGCGCCGTCTGTGGGGAACGACTTTCAAAAATCTTTAAGCCAAATTTCTAACCAAGATCATCTTGCAATTATCTTAGTAGCAATGGCTAAGAACCGCAAAAGCAAAGGACTCCGTCAAGGAGCGGGCGAAAAGCCTAAAACCCCTACACCATCACCCTCGCCGGACCAGAACTATCCCAAGGGTGCCAGCTCGGGGGGAGGATCATACAGGGAGGATTCCCTTTCTCCCGTAATTCATAACTCTCATCATAGGCCGAGTCACTCTCGGTCTAGCAGGGGTGAGTCCGATCATAGGACACATTCAGTGCCCTAAAGCCAACCATCGACTGTGCGCCCTCATTCCCATACTCGGCCGAGGACCCCTTTGACGGGGCCCAGCTCGGAGGAGGTGGCAAGAGCGCTGGCAGTGCTCATGGAGGCAATGAGGGCACAAAATATGCCACCACCTCGTGATCGAACTCCTCCGCATACCCGGCATCAACGGAGGAAGCTAGACCATGATGGTGGGAAGCTTCCTTCCTTCCGGGAACTAGAAGAGTGGGAAGAGGATACCTGGAAAAATGAAAAAGAGAGGAAAAAGAACCCTCAATTTTTCAAAGGATCCTCATCCTCCCGACCAGAAATGCATAAGAGCAGCAGCTCAGCTTCTCGGCCAGAATCTACTCACCGAGAACAACCTGAGACTGTTCGCCGAAGCGTCCTCGACCGACTCGGCGGCAAGGAACCGAGCGTGCACAGTCGCCTCTCGTTCCCTGCGGCCGAGGCCCAGACTTCCCAGCCAGGGTTGAAAACCACTTCTACCTCTCTAAGAGGGCGGAGCGCGGTCCCTTCGGCCAGGAACAAGGGCAAGGCCGTTATGCTACCCGCCAGTTCGCCATTCGAGCAATGGATACTGGAAGAGCACGTGCCCACGGTTAAAATACCGTCGCACATCACATATGACGGGACCTCGGATCCGAAGGACCACGTGGCCTCGTATGAGACTCATATGCATCTTTGCCCCAGATCCGAAGCGACTTGGTGCAAATATTTCCCAACCACTCTCAAGGGGGTCGCGCAAGCGTGGATCTCCAAGGGAGTAAAGCAAGGCTCCATAACAGGGTGGGATGATCTGTCCTCCAAATTTAGGAGCAAGTTTTCCACGGCAAACCGTCGAGAGAAGACTACTGCAGAACTCATGAGTCTGCAACAGGGGGAAACCGAAAGCCTCCGAGACTATCTGACCCGTTTCAGTAACGAGTCATCCAGCGTCTCTCAGCTGGACCAGGGGCTAGCCGTTTTTGCAATGCAGAATGGCCTTCAGCCCGGGAAGTTCCTAGACTTCATGGTCATGCATACCCCGCAGACCTTGGAGGAAGCTCTGAATGCCTCGGATAAGTTCATCCGAGCCGAAGAATGGAACAAAGCGAAAACCCAACCTCAATTCGGGGGAGGGAAACAAAGACAAATACCTTTGTCTGAAGGCCAAGGCCATAAGGCAAAGGGAAAGTCAAAGGCCTCGGAGCAATCTTCGGCCAGCGACCCAAAGAAGGAAAAATTTGCCTCATACACAGGCAGATACGAGTCCTACACTCCGCTCTCTCTTCCACGCGCCAAAATTTACAGCGTGACGAAGGAGGAGCAGAGTTACCGAAAGCCGAGACCACTCCCAGAGTGGTATCAGCGGAAAAATAAAAATCAGTGGTGCGAGTTCCACGAGTCTCCGGGACACAACACTGAGGAGTGTATCCAACTGAAGGACCAGATAGAGGACATGGTCCGGAAGGGATACTTGAAAAAATACATCGCGGATCACCGCGAGAAAAAGAGTCCGAGAAGTCAGCAAAGGACTCTCGGCAAGACCTCGACTTCCCCGGAAGAATAGTAAAAAGCCGGAGGGGAAATTCTCTCCGATCAATGTTATCTCGGGAGGAATATGCTCTCGGAGGGAGCACAAGCAACACCTTAGGGCTTTGACTCACCAGGTGAACAACGCTGACATTCAGTCTCCCCAATCGCCGGTGCCGAACATGACGTTAACAGCCGCCGACTGCCGGGGGATAACGTTCCCTCACGAGGATCCGTTGGTGATCATCGCCACGGTGGCCAACCACGACGTCAGTAAGGTCCTTGTTGACGGTGGCAGCGGAGCAAACATTCTGTTCCGAAAGGCCTACAATCAAATCAAGCTGAAGCCCAAGCACCTTACGCCGGTACCCTACCCGGTATCCGGGTTCAACGGGGCTTCAACTTATCAAGATGGGAAGGTGACACTTCCTATTACCATCGGCTGCGATGAGGCAGCCAGGAACATCATGATTGAATTTTTGTTCATTGACGCTCCTTCAGTGTACAACGTGATTTTGGGGAGACCCATAATTCATGAGATCCAAGGGGTCGTCTCAACTTATCATCAGCTGATAATTTACGTCTCAGACGCCGGCTTCCCCGAAAGGATACAGGGCAACCAAAAGGACGCCCGAAGGTGCAACTACCTCAAGCCATCCAGTAGTCGCCAAGATGACGACAAGGATGAGGAGGAGAAAGAAAAAGAAAGAGAGCCCGAAAGGCCTAAGTGCTTCGGCCCAAGGATCTGTACCCAGAGGTACAGGGCCCGAAAGGGAAAAGGCTAGCTCTTCAGCTGAACAGCAAGACTCAGAGAGCCAGCCGAAGAACAAAAAGACTGGGACGGACACCTGCTGACATAGGCAGCAGGCCAGATTATGAAGAGACCAGTCCATCAGCAATGGACATGGACCAACAGACTGAAACAGTTGAGTTGGCCGAAGGAGACGTTGAGAAATGTGTAACAATCGGGATGGACCTTGATCCGAACACCCGTTGTGAACTTATTCAGCTCCTTCGGGACAACAGAGATGTGTTTGCTTTCTCGGCAGCTGATATGCCCGGGATAAGTCCAGACCTCATCTCCCATAAGCTTAATGTTGACCCAACGTGTCGACCAATTAAGCAAAAGAAGCGGAATTACTCCGCTAATAAGAACCGAGACATCGCAGCCGAGGTCAAAAAATTGCTGGAGGCAG